CAGGCGGCCCGCGTGGCCGTGGACGGGCACGTGCAGGTGAGCGCCCCCGGGGGGACTCGAACCCGCGCCCCGCGCCCTCCTGGGGCTCGCCTGCGGCTGAGCGACCCCTGGCCAAGCGTGCATCCTGCTAGCAACATGCATTGCTTCAGCTTGGGCCTCTGCAGGGGGAAAACCTGCCGAGTCGGGAGGTGCATGCGGTGTCAGGCCGGGGGAGAGTCCAGAGCCCAGCTAGGTCTGCGGACAGGCCGTAGCCTCGCGTAATATTTGTTGCTTCAACGCTCTGCAAACGTCCGTCAGTAAAGGGGTTCAGCTCACCGCTGCGCAGGAGCTGGTGTCAGGGAAAATCGCCTCCAATTCTTCGTTCAGCTCAGTATCGTGTGTTTCTGGATGTTGGCCCAGCAGCCAGAAGACTCCCCGAGCTCATCCACACGCTTTGGCCTCTCTTCTCATGCGTGCTTGTTGGGGTTTGTTTTATCCTGCAAGTACCTGGAGGTCCCAGCTTGAGTTTGGGGCCCCCTTGTGCTAATATGAGCATGCCTAGAAGTTACACCACTGTCGGCTTTGTCTGTCCATGTCCATCCCAGGGTAATTTTACCTGATACTAAAAGTCTGATACCTGCTCCCCTGCTTCCTAGGGGTGCGGCGCAGTAACAGCTACCTGCTGCGTCAGCTCTCCCCTGGGATAGCTGCAGGCCTGTCTGGCGTGCTACCATTGGTGTGCTTGTCCAGGCCCTCAATTAAATGCTTCAGCCTGGTCTCCACTGCGATTTTACATTGAGCTGGGTAATGCATACTAGTTTTCTCACTGTCAGACACTTCTTCAACGGGAAAGACTTAGTCCTAATCTAGATCATATCTAAACAGGCCTTCTTGCCTGAATTGTTGCAGCTCCCTTCATCCTTGTGCGGTGGAGGGGGGTGGATGCAAGACCTTTTTCTCTGTAGCAGTCTGTTACCAAATGCGGAGCTAACATCTGAGGTCAAAAAAAGTCTCTCCCTGTGTCTCCTCTTGTCTGTTTGTTCTTCTTTCTGACTTTAACCTTGTCCTCCCTTTGGAGGCGTGTGGCTTTGTTGTGCGTTGGCTGCGCTTGGCAAAGTGAGACGTGGCTGTGTTCATTTTGCTATGCTGTCCCTGGGACCACAGGGAATAAATATCCAGGCATGATCCGCTGGCCTGGGCTTCTCCCGAGGTGGATCTCAGTGGGGAAGGGGAGCCCCGAGGTAAAGTTGGCAGGCCCCAGTCTTATGCCATGTTCACAAAGTTTAACAAAAACTTCCTTACTGGCATTACTGACAAGTTAAACTTTTAACTCCTTGGGGGTGTGCTCTGCTGGCCCCTCTGCTCTTTTCCAGGCAGAACAACACAGACCCGGTTGGGAAGGCAGACTGAAGGCAGCTCCACGCAGTCCCTGCCAGCTTTGGTTGGATCATTGGGCACAGCAGGGCGGCTTGATGCACCATTTAACAGCAAAGAACCTTGCTATTACATTAAATAATGCATGTACATTAAATTGTATGCAAGGAATGAACCTATAAGGCCAAGATGAAACTTTAACGTCTTGTGATTTTGTTTTTTTTGGTAATGCTTTGCTTCTTAAGTGAATTTAAGCTGTGTATTTTCACCAAGGAATTTGCTTATGTACAAAATGCGCAGGTGTATGTATGCATGAGCCAGAGTTAATTCTCATCAAGTTTAGCTACCTAGTAAAGTGTCTCTACACTGCAAAGAATACAGCATTGTGGGTCCTGGTTGTGACGTAGCAGTGCCCGTTCACTGCACATTTATTTAATTAATAAGTTTCTGCATTAAAAGTCTAAATCAAGCAACAAATGATATTGTATTGAGATGGGGGAGAGATTTGCCATGTGTCAGTTGTTTAATTTAGGGGTATACTGTCCTGGTTTATAGTTTTACTTACCATGGGATAGAGAGAGCACGTGAAACAGCTATAAATTCCTGCAGTTTAGCTTCGACTTACTTAGGAATAGAGTAGACACATGAACTAGTTACTGTGGAGCAGTTAACTAATGCAGTAAGTCCTTCCTTCCTTCCAGCTTGTTATCACATATACGTGTGTGCCCGACCACAGTGTGGATAGCACACTGTGTGTTAATCATTGTCCTGAGCAGGCTCCCACCCTTGAGAGGGCAAGGCTTTGGAACAGTTTAAACATGGCTTGTGATGCAAGACTCATGCATTTTAAGTGCATGAGAAGGGCCCAGGGTGCACCGTATTTTCTACAGAGCAAGCAGGCTTTTCTTTTGATCTGCTCTTATCCTCCAGGGAGTGCTCTTGCAGTTTTTGCTTTGGATAACAGAGTTACTGCTACAGTGCTGTTCACTAACAATATTGTTCCTGGAAACGGTGCTTTACCATGTGGCTTCCTTGCAAAGTAGGCTTCTTTCATGGGGTGCTTGTTTGAACCTCCTCCTGTGCATACACTCTGATTCTCCTGCAAAATAATGGGCATCTGGAAGACCTGCAGTGTTTCTGCGGTGGGGGCGAGTGAAAAGATGCCTCCGTTCGAGTTTTCCAAGGAAGCAGTGAACTGCTCTCACCAGTAAACTGAGTTGCTGGTTTTAGGAGATGCTTTAGAAAAACTCAGTGTTGAACAGTGGACTGTTTAAGACAGGGGTGGGCAATTATTTCAGGCGGAGGGCCGCTTATTGAGTTTCGGCAAGCCATCGAGGGCTGCATGACAGGCAGCCCAGGGCAGATTAATATTAATTTTCTGTATTTTTTAGGGACCCTGTGGGCCGGATAGAAGGGCCTGGCAGGCCGCATCCAGCCCCCCTGGGCTGCATTTTGCCCACCCCTGGTTTAAGAGCAAGCCTGCATGAACGTGGAGTACCCACAAGTGTTGTAGGCAGCAGTTACAATAGACATCCTCAACCCTTCTGTATTCTGTGCTGTGATAAGCCTCTGGTCCAAGACAAATCCTATGTTCAGAGCTCACCATTTCATACCTAGGTCAAGCATTAGCCATGTTCTGAACTGGCCTAAATAGGACGCTTCTGATTTCTCTTAGAGGCCGTGGGCCTGATGATTACTTAGAAGTATGGATGCCTGAAAGTCCATTTGAAACCAATGGTAGCTGCATGTGCTCAGCGCCTTTGAAAAACAGACCGTAGCGAAATATAATTAGCACCAGCCCTTCGCAATATGGTAAGATACTTAGAATTGCAAAGCAGGCCATACCTCAAATATCAACTGGTTCATCTGCCCATAGGAGCAGTATTTTTCTTTCTGTATCTGAAACAAGCAGTCCAGTTGCATTGCTGAACCAGGTTCCTGGGTATATGTTCTTTGCTTTTGGTGACAGGCTGGGTGTTATAAAAACATTCTTCTGTTGTTTTTCCGATCTGCAGAACAATCAAGTCCTTGGAATTGGGAGTGGCTCGACCATTGTTCATGCTGTGCATCGACTAGGTATAGTACGAACCTTCACTTACTCTAGCATTAGTAATATCCTTTTATCTGGAAGCCCGTGGTAATAAAACCCAGATTTCGACAAGTGTAATTACTTGCTGTCTTCTCAACAAAGTGCTTTCTTGTGCTTGAGGCCGGCTGGTGTGTCTTACTTAAAGCTGAAGGTGGAAAACTGGCCTTTTATCTCAGTCTCATAGTAAGATCAATCCCGAGGCATTAAGCTGACATGTTACTCGACCTGGTGCTTTGTTAATTATGGTTAAGCATGGGTGTATCATCTGTCCTGCCCATGCAGCCAGACCGTGTGATCAATTAACCTGTGCCCAAGTTTGGAGTTAAAACCTCCCAAAGTTTACGTCTAGCTCTGCCACTGTGTGTGGCTTTGAATTACTCCCTTAGCTTTTCTGCTTCAGCTTTACCCATCTGGGCAATGTTGATGCTCCTCAGTTTCTTACTAGTGACATGGAGTGGCCTAATGAGGTAACTCATATCAGTGCTTTAAGGATTTGAAACAAGCCATCTGGTAATTTATATACCCTGCAGTTACACAGATTGCATCAGGTGTCAATTAGGACAAGGTTTTTCCCAGAAAGTGCCATGTCTTGGCCCAGTGCTATATCACAGAATGATAGAAAATGAGGGTTGGAAGGGACCTCAGGAGGTCACATCTAGTCCAACCCCCTGCTCAAAGCAGGACCAGCCCCAACTAGATCATCCCAGCCAAGGCTTTGTCTAGCCGGGTCTTAAAAACCTCCACCAACTCTGTCTAGGCAGGTCGTTCCAGTGCTTTACCACCCTCCTAGTGAGAGAGTTTTTCCCAATATCCAACCTAAACTTCCCTTGCTGCAACTTGAGACCATTGCTCCTTGTTCTGTCATCTGCCCCCACTGAGAACAGTCCAGCTCCAAGTGTTCTTGAAGGAAGGACATGCCAACAAAGTTTTCAGCTAAGTGCTGCTTTTATGGAGACCCTGGACAGTCAGTTCTGCTTAACTGTCTTCAGACACAAAACAGAACGACTTGTAGTTGGGAACTAGGACTGTCGGATAAAGAGAGTTGTTTGTAGAGGACTCCCTCTATTCAACATGGGCATTTAGGATATCCCGTCAGTCCAGTTCTCTGAGATCTTGCATGTGCCCTGACAACTTGCAGTGCTGTTGGTTGCACGCACCCTGGACTTTGTTTGCACCTATTTGGCTCTGGGGCATATGGTTTATATATTTGAATGCTTTACCTGCAAAATGTTTTTAGAACTGGAAGCTCTGCTTCCTGCTTTTGTTGCTGAAGACAGATTACTCTAATTCAAACATAAGCTAGGTCATTGATCCACAAATAAAGGGTTATTGGTTTTCCTGTTTGCATGTACCTTCCCACCTTCTGCCTGAGCAATGGGGCCCACAAAGCAGTGCTTTGCTGAATGACTGTAACAGTAGGATGAAAGCCTCCAGGCTACTTGACTTTTGCCACCAGAAAATCTTGCCAATGATCTTGAAATGCCAACCCCCTCCCTGGTTTCATAAGGTATCAGTGAACTGCCCTCACTCAGTCGGACCGTTGGATTTGCCTACGCTTGAATTCTGGGCAAAATATTATCAAGCAATTATCTTAATAGTAGACTTAATTTTTTGAAGTTAACCGGAGGAGGGAAACATTTCCTATCTCCTAAAGGCAATGCAGGATTTTGTTCCATTAACCATTCCTTGCCATGGATTTAAATGTTTTTATTATATATGACTAGGGTGCCCTGAAATGACGAACTAAGCAGCTGCTGTTACTTGCCAACAGCTCCTCTATTTACAAGGCAGGCAGTAGAATTGGTCTGATATGGGGTTTCATTCCTCGGGTGATGAGTTGTTCTTTGCTGACGGGACACAGCTCTTGCTATTTTACTGCTCTGAGATGAGATGGGTCATTAGCTGAGACAGTCTTTAGATATTGTCAATAAAAGCTATGGTGTACCCAGCACAGGGTGGCACTTGGAAGCAATTGGTGCCTGGGTTATTCCTTTGCAAGTAATTGTCAGGCTGGTCTTGAGTTAGTGTTTCTTAAAATGAAACCTTTTCCTTGATTGTGAATGTTTGTTGAGAAACCTGATGGGTCTGTCTGCTTCTTCCTACAGCTGAAAGAGTTCAGCAAGAAAACCTGAATGTTATTTGCGTCCCTACATCCTTTCAGGTAAAAGCACTTTCCTCCTTTGCAGCATATAAGACTCCCACATCTCCAGTTAGGTGGGAGGTGGTACCAGGGCATTTTCTGAATCAGATGATCCTGTGTCTTAGCTCATGAATAAAGCACAGCTTTGGCAGGTGATCATGTGAATGGCTAACCATGATGTACAGGTGGAGTGGTGCTTATTGTCACAAATCTCTTTTCATGGCAGAAACCTGTGCAGCTTTGGGGAGGTTTTTGTTTTAAGTTTCAAATATTTGTAATTCAAGGGTTGCCACGTAGATGGGAACACAGCAGGAGAGGCCCCTGTGTTCACAGGCAGTCATGAACCAAAGGACCCCCCCAAATCACCATACAGTCACTCCCCATTCCCCAAAACACCACCCGTGGGTCAGATGTGTGGCATGGGATCAGTCTACAGGCTGGATTGGGGTCATGGACTTCCCCCTTCCCAACTCCTTGCAAGTGCTGCATGTAGCACAGGTTGCAGACCGGCTAGAGTGGGCATCATATGCAGCACAGTCCTGGACTGGCCAGAGCAGGTTCTGGATCTGGCATGTGGGGGGCCTACAGATTCTGCCCTGCTCCCTTCCTGAGTGCCAAATCCAGTGTTTGCTCTGAGTATGGGACTGCACTGTGTTGTGGAAAAAACACGCTGTAGAATTTGGAATCAGGTCAGGTAGAAACTTTATTTCGATAGCTATCGGAGAGAGACCCTTACAGGAAGATTTCTGCTGTGGCCTCTCTACTTTTACATCCAGGGCAATTAACCTTTTATAGATTCAAGACAAAGGGTTGCCTAAACTAGCTTTTCCCGCCTTGGGGCTATCTGTCTTGTGTCCTTCAAGACAGTTTAATGGTCATCTTCCTCTTATCTAAGGAATTTCTCTCTCCCCACTTGAGGCCTTAGTTCCTCTCCCCCCCCCCCCCCCTTGAGGCCTTAGCCATCCTTTGCTTCCACAACTGCATATCACCTGCCCTAGACTGGCTGGAGTGGGTACTGTGTAGCTCGTGTCCCAGAGTGGACATTGGATTCAGCATGCAGTAGGGCATCCTGGACTGGCCCCACATGGCTGCTGTGTGCAGGGCAGATCCTGAAGCCGGCACCGCATGAGGCTCATGTCCTTGGCCCAGTGGAAAGGGCTGGTCTGGCGCACACCATGTGTGCATCAGCTCGAGACCCAGGGCCAGCACTGGGGTCTGGATGGTGTGGTTTCACAGGCTGTATTTTTGACACCTTTGCTCTATAACTTGCCCCAGTTAAAGTCAGGGAGACAAGGTCTTTGCAAATGCCTCACCACTGCAACAGCAGGGAAATAGTTGATATGTGTTCAGAAGATCCTAGAAAAAGGACTATGCCCTATGCTATGGAGGCAGGCAGTCTGTCCCTGCACCACCCGACACACCCACATAGTCTGTACCAACCTGATCCAGGGGAAGAATTTGGCAACCCCAAATTTGGCAACCAGTATGTCCCTGGGTGGAAGAGCAAGACCCTCTATTCAGCAGTGTTGCACAGAAGTACTGCAAATGTTGTTGCATTGGGAACCTTTCCTCTAGGTCAGGTCCTTATTGATTGTAGCAGGCTCTGGAGACCTAGATGCTGTAACAGTTGTCCTGCACAAGCCCAGGCTAGATCAAATACTCTCAGGAAGATGGAGGAGTGCATGTAGTTGGCTGGTGCGTGAAATTCCTCAGGAGAAATCGGCTTAATCTTTCTTTTGCTGTGCGGTCTTCTACAGGGAATATACGTCTGTCCAGCTGCATTACTAGGCTTTGTGTTTCAGAGCAAAGAGAAATTTGCTGCAAAAGCACAGAACTAATTGTAGTTGTTGTTGCTCTCTGTGCCTCAGTTTCCTTGCCAGTGAAAAAGAAATACAGTGTAGAATAGGCATAGCACTTCCCCTCCATCTCCTTTGTGTTATTGGGCATATCCCTGGTTCAGGAAGGGCGTGGGCTGTCAGCAGAATGTGTGGCCTTGTGGATAGGCTGCTGGGCTGGGAATAAGGAGATTTGTATTTTATTGCTGATTCTGCCATTGATCTGCTCTGTAACCACTTACAAGTCACTGCATCCCTTGCTGCCTGTCACCCCACCCTGTGCCTGCCTGTACGTTTAGTTTGCTTCTGGGGGGCAGAGACTATCTGGCTAGGCTTTTTTATTCAGTGTTTGGCACAGTGGGGGTACAATCTAGCTCCTGTAATATGAATAATGACAACATATAGAGAAATTGGTGATTTGCAGTTGCTACTAAATGCAGAAGGTAAGAATGAATTGAAAATATATTGGGTGCGACAGACAATGCAAGTGTGTTGCAAAAAATCAGGCTGGCATTGTTTTATTTTTAAATTGACAATGATTGTAATTTTTCTTAAAATGCTATCCTTGATATTTGTCTTCCCCATCTGTGAACTAATGGGAAAAAACAGGTAAAATGTTCCTGGTATCAGTCATACTATTTCTCAGCAGTGACAGTTCATTTAAAATGATTGCATGCAACTTTCTGCAGCTTCCGGATCTGAAGTGTAGCTTTGAGAGGTTGTGGTTTGTGTTTAACCTTGGAAGTTACAATGATGAAATTTTGGCTTTCTGTTTGCAAGGAGCAAGGGTCCCTCGCAGTCAAAAGAAACGTGTTTCTCCCTCTGCTGTTCTCAGTCTTCTCTTCCCTGGTCATGAGCCACATCAAACATTTGTAGCGTAATTTAGTGCCAACTATGTTCAGGGGAACAACTGGACTATGCAGCTGCTTTAAATAATGAGAATTGCAGGCTGTGTTTATTAGCTGGCCTCCTGACACAGGGGTTGCCCTGGAATAGAGTCAGGGCAATCAGCATGGGTTCACCAAAGGCAGGTCCTGCCTGACCAACCTGATTGCCTTTTATGACCAAGTAACTAAATCCTTGAATGATGGTGTTGCCGTGGACGTAGTCTTTCTAGACTTTAAGAAGGCCTTTGACACCGTCTCTCACCCCATCCTCATCAATAAATTAAGCGACTGTGGCATTGATGCCTACACAGTTGGATGGGTCAAAAATTGACTGATGGGACACACCCAGAGAGTAGTGGTGGACAGGTTGTACTCAACCTGGTGAGATGTGAGCAGTGGGGTACCCCAGGGCTTGGTCCTCGGGCCCACACTGTTTAACATCTTCATCAGCGACTTGGACGAGGGGGTGGAAAGCACGCTGTCCAAGTTTGCTGATGACACTAGGATGTGGGGCGAGGTGGACACGCTTGAAGGGAGAGAGAGGCTGCAACTAGATTTAGACAGGCTACAAAAGAGGGCAGATGGGAATAGGATGGGGTTCAACATAGACAAATGCAGGGTGCTGCACCTTGGGAGAAGGAATCCACAGCACACATACAGGCTGGGGAGTTCCCTTCTTGAAAGCACAGAGGTGGAAAGGGATCTTGGAGTCATTATTGACTCCAAGATGAACATGAGCCGCCAATGCCAGGCCGCAGCCAGCAAGGCCAGCCATACCTTGTCATGCATCCAAGGGTGCATCTCAAGCCAGTCCAGAGAGGTGATCCTCCCCCTCTATGCAACATTGGTCAGGCCACAGTTGGAGTACTGCGCCCAGTACTAGGCACACTTCAAAAGGGATGTGGCCAGCCTGGAGAGGGTTCAGAGGAGGGCCACCCGCTTGGTGAGAGGGCAGCAGAACAGGCCCTACGAGGAGATGCTGAGGGACCTGAACCTGTTCAGCCTCAGCAAGAGGAGGCTGAGGGGGGACCTGGTGGCTGCCTACAAGCTCATCAGGGGAGATCAAGAGCAGATAGGCAGAGCCCTTTTCTCCCCAGCACCACCTGGGGTGACGAGGAACAATGGTCATAAGCTGATGGAGAATAGGTTTAGGTTAGAGATCAGAAGGCAATATTTTACAGTTAGGGTGGCCAAAATCTGGAACCAACTTCCCAGGGAAGTGGTCCTCGCCCCTACCTTGGGCAAATTCAAGAGGAGGTTGGACGATCACCTGTCTGGGGTCTTGTGAACCCAGCATTCATTCCTGCCTGTGGCAAGGGGTCAGGATAGACAATCTGGTCAGGTCCCTCCTGACCCTAGGTACTATGGAAGTCATTCCTCTGTTCCACTTGAACAGGAGCTGGTTCGCTTAGTTCAGTCCTGCAGCTTGGCAGAGCGTTTTGAAGTAAGAGGCTTTGTCTGCTAATGTGGGCTCTTCTTTTTACTGGGTTCACATGGCAGGTGATACATTTGTAGTGTTAAAAAGATCTGGGGACAGGTTCTGGGATTAGAGTCCAGAGACTTGTGTTTGGTGCCAAGCTCTGCCACTGAGCTGCTGGGTGACCTGGGGCAAGTCATGTCACTCCTCTGTGCCTCTTTCCCCACCCTTTGCCTTTCAACCGAGGCCTCTAAATGTTAACTAAGCGTTAGGGTTTCGTTTATAAATACAGAACTTGTACTTCTGTTTCCAGACTAGAAGTCAAACGAAAGAAGATGGCTTGAGTGAAGAAATGAAGAAAAAGGAAGGGATGCAACTGCTTCCTGCCTGCCCTCCTTCCCTCTTCCATCTCCCTCCAATTCCCCCCCCCCCCCCCCCCCGGCCCCCCCTCCCCCCCCCCCTGCCTCTGGCTTCCTTGCCTCTGGGGGCAGGAATCCCTCTGCACCTGTTCCTAAAAACGATTGCTCCAGGATGATGTCCGACTCCAGCCGCATTGCATGGGAGGCGGTGGGGGGTGTAACTCACAGGAGAGAGGTTGAACAGGAGAGTATATGGCTGCATAGATAGAGCTAAACTCATCTTTTAGAGAATTATCACATTTTGATTATTAGGAGCTGGATTCATTTTGCTCAGTAGACCGGACAGCGTGCTGACTCTTGCCTGCATTTTGGGTTGGTGACAAGGTGGATGTCAAATCTCTCATTGGCTTTGTGGTTTGAAACTTTCTAGAGGCAAGTGAAAAGATACTCTGCTGTCTAGCAAGTTTCTCAGTCCTGTACACCTGTGCAAAGTGAGTGTTAGGCTCCAGATCCGACAGCAACACCTCCTTCCCACTTTGCACATTATAAAGGGCTGCTTGAGGTCCCAGGCAAAGGAGTGTTGGTGTCGGTGGGCCCAATTCACTCCCCTTCTCCAACACTGGTTTAAGTCACGTAACAGCTGTTAACACCTGTTGGAGTTAGCACCTGTTGGAACAAGACAGAGACTGGGCTGAATGTATCTGCCACTTTGCTCTAGAGGTGTGTATGTGTGTGTTGATCAACTAGGTATCCACTGAGAGCTTATAACTTAGCAACTGGACTGTTTCCTGGCAACAATCTGTAGGTCTCCATCTACTGAGAGCTGCTCTGGGCTTCCACCTAATTAAACAGCTGCAGAGCCAGGCCAGCGGTGAGACTGCAGCTGTTGGGTAGTTTCGTTTGGTTTTGCGGCACATCAGGAAGCTTCTTGTGGTACCTGCAGGGAAAGTCTTTTCATTCGGATCCTCTAGATTTGAGCAAGCGCCATGCGGTTACAGCTGCTTTTCCTCTTACTCATGCATTTGTTTACTGACGCTACAAACCCATGTTGTTTGAAACAGCTTCCCCATCCCATCATCGGGAGTACAGCGCTGTAGCATTGGAGACTTGCCTGTGTGGCAGATAGTCAGCTGATGGGAATTGATGTCACTCCATTGACTTAAATGGCTCTGTGCTGACTCAAAGCCTGCCCAGGTCTGATCTAGAATGGAGTGGAAAGCAAACACCACTGCCCTAGAAAAGATTCAAGTCACCTCTCATTGTACGTGAACCAGCCTTTTCACAACTACAGTACAAGAGAAAATAATCAAGAGACCTAACTTGTCAGCAGCAGCTTGTAAATCAGGGACCAGATTATTCTGCAGTGTCACATCCTTGTTTTATAGCATGCCCAAAAGTGGTGCAAGAACTTTTGACTTGAACAGAGTTAACAGTAAGAGTGAATTTGTTTTGGGTAATGCAAGTTATTTAGGGCAGTGATTCTCAGCTGCAGCACTGTGGGGTATTGTGGGATCCTTTTAAGGGTGTTGCACAATTTTTCGTAGAAAATTAGGGTTGGAAGGGACCTCAGGAGGTCATCTAGTCCAACCCTCCCCTGCTCAAAGCAGGACCACCGCAACTAGCTCATTCCAGCTAGGACTTTGTTGAGCTGGGCCTTAAAAACCGTCCAAGAATGGAGATTACACCACTTGTCCAGGTAACCTGTTCCAGTGCTTCCCCACCCTCCAAGTGAGAGAGTTTTTCTTAATATCCAACCTAAATTTCCTTTGCTGCAACTTGAAGCCATTGCTCCTTGTTCTGCCATTTGTCATATTTGCACTGTTAGGTGTGCAAACACCTACATGTGATTCACAAGAATAAACATAGAGATTTCAAACAGGAGTCATAGCTTAAAAAATATTCTGACTTGTTGTGGTTGTTCTGAGTCCTTTGCAATGGAAGAATTACTCTATTATTTATTGTAGTAAAAAAAAATGAGTGAAATTGCATTTTTGAACTGGGGTGCTGCTAAATTCAAAAAACAGTTATGGATGGGTGTCTGGAGTCTAAAAAGTTTGAGATCTACTTAAAGACAATAACAGACTCAATATTTTAGAGGGGGCAAGAAACCATTGTCAGAGGGTGGATAGGAGCCCTGCTGCAGGGAATAACAAAATCTAGTGAGCTTTTTAATGTGTGTCAAGGAACCTTTTGTTTTATCCTTTGCAGTTTCTGTGCTAAAAGGGAAAATTTTCCATATGGTAACAAAAGGTACTTCCTAACTATTAAGTATTTGTGTGGGGTGGCTATCACTACCCTCCTGTTACCAAGAAGAGGTGAGTGAAGCTGAGCGAGTATGTGACTTGTCCAGGGTAGCACAGCTAGTTGGTGGAAGACTCCAGGATGGAGCCTAGGAGCTTAGTTTCTTCCCTTGACCTTGGAGAAGAAAGAGACTCTCCCATCTGCCCTTTTCCCCAGAAAGCCAGTAGAAACTATGGTTGTGCGGTCAAGAGTAGGACCCAGGAGTCCAAACACAGTCTCTCTATAGACAGGACCACCTGAATTCAGAGTAGTGGTGGGAACACTGCAACTCTGCCTAGGGAAGGCATGGCCTTGCTGTGCTGCTCCTGCTTCAGGACGGTGTGCTATGGGGAGAGGGAATTCTCCGTGGAGTTGGAAGAACAACAGCACAAAGCTGATCTGTGCCCTTGGTGCAGGTCCTAGGAGAGAGCATGCATATGGAGGTAAACAGCACTTGTTCTGTCTTCCCTGTCTAGGCACGGCAGTTGATCCTGCAGAATGGTTTAATCCTAAGTGACCTGGACAGACACCCAGAGGTAAGGGAACTGTAGAAATGAGATCTCATCTCTATCTGACTGGCCTCCAGTGACAATGTTTTGGAGTATGCAGGGCCAGGATGGTATATTGGGACAAAGCACCCTCCTTTGTCCCACAGGGACAAGAGCTTGGGCTGTGATTGAAGGCCCAATACAAAGAAATGGGTTTTCCTTAATCCTAGTTTGCTCGCATCTCTGAACCTTGCCCCATCTGACGGCCCTTGAGCACAGACAGATGGAGTAGGTGGAGGTGTGCAGTCTGGGAGCAGGCTTGGCTCTCTGAGTGGCAGGAAGCGTGCGCTGGCTGAGTCCAGCCAGTCTGTTCCTTCCCCCCAGTTTCACAAGCCTTATATAAAGGTGATGCTCCATGTAGGACTTTGGCCAGGGTTTTGGATTAGCAGCTCATCCCGTGACGGCTCTTCAGTGGCAGGTAGGAGTTTCAGTGGCCCATCTCCAAATCCTGATATATCTTCCACCACCAAACCCTATGCCCTGTGACTGTGCCATTGGTGCAGTTCTGAGCAGGAAGGAAAAATGCCACCTGCAGAATTGCCACCCCCTTTCTATAGTGGTCCCTGGATTATTTCCCCTTGGAGACTTCCCCTCAGGTGCTGACCCAGCCTGACCAGTGTTCAGATTGAAGAGGATGAGTTGCTCGAGGTGGTCTGTTTGGGAGTGGAAGAGATTACAGATGGACTTCAAGATGGGTTTTCTGTGGGTGCATGTCTGTGTAATTACATACCCAGACGCTTGTATCAAGATGCCTTGTATTCAGTTGCACTGTTGTTCCCAAAGCCAGTTCTCGAAGCACTGCCTAAACATCTGGAAAGCAGCAATGGGTGTGTGGGTTTGGGTTATGAAGACACTGGCATGTGGGGTGCTGTGTCTGACCACCTGTCTCAGTTGGACCCTTCCCATATGGCAAGATGTGAGCACCTCATAGCCGGCGTGTGCTCTGTGACTCCCTGCACAGCTGCACAAACAGCAGGTGCCTGCTTTGTGCCAGCTCTTGAGAAGGCCTGATTTATTCCCCAAAGTTTTCAAGCCACATTCTCTCTTCTTGCAGCTTGACGTTGCCATCGATGGAGCTGATGAAGTGGACTCTGACCTCAATCTTATCAAAGGTGGTGGGTAAGCAAAGCCATCCAGCATGTGGACAGAGCAATAATGAAATCCAGTGTTTCAAGGAATATAATTCTCATATTGGAAAGGGGTCTGGTGTGGCTTAAATTGAAACTGGCCTGCTGTGCAAGGGGCCGTGTGAAAATTAGGTTCCTGCCCACGGAGCTGAGAATCAAAATAGACAAGGTGGACACAAAACGTGGGGCAAGGAGTAGGGCTGGTGTCCAGCAATACTGGCAGAAATTGCTATGGGTGGTGGCTTGCTTGCAGTTAGTGGGGATATCTCACTCAATGCAGGGCCATTGGGAATAAGTTCACTGTGAATTCCCTGCTCGTGCAGGGTCTCGGGCTCATAGGCCTGGTTATCCCTGTGGCAGGTTTAGCCACGGAGGTTTCTCTGTCCTATTCCAGTATTGCTTCTTACCCAACACCTGCAGACAAACTACAAAATGAGGAAAGAACAGTCTTCTGTCGGTGGTGTCTTTGCCCCAGCACGAATTGACAGAGACTGTCTCCTATGTTGGAAATAAGCTATGAGCCTCCACCTTCCCCCCACACCTCATGATACAGGGCTGTTGGTCTGCTAACTTTCAGAAGCACTTGAACTTGCATTGGATCAAAGAGCTTAATTCATCTTGTCTCATATTCTGGGGAGCCTTCTTTTTATCAGCCATCCAGCCACGACAAGGTCCAATTGAATGCGTTTGTTTTCTCACTTTGGTTTCAGAGGCTGTCTGACACAGGAGAAGATTGTTGCGGGCTATGCCAAATGCTTCATTGTTATTGCAGACTACAGGTGAAATGTGCTGGATTTTATCCCTACAAGGTGGAGACAGAGGGTCAAGTTCAGCCATAGTCGAATTCAGTGAGCCTGTTTGTTGAGTAGTCGCATGGTTCTGCTTCTGTGGTCATTGGGAGGTTGCCCCTTGACTTCAGTGGGCTGAACACATTGTGAGTTGAATTTGGCTCAGGTTTTAATTACAAAACTCCAGAACCACCAAATTATTCAGCACTCTTGTCTCAAAATTCACCATCCCCCATGTCTTTGCAAGTTGATCTAGATGGCTGATGTGCCCTTTTTTCTGACATGGCTATTTCATTATAAAATAGGTTATTGCCTTTCATTGCCCTCTTCTGCTTAAATCTGTAGGACCCTCAAAAATTAAGCAGAGATCTCTTTGCCCAAGTATTTCAAACTGGTGGCTTTATGAGGACTTAGCTGAGCTGGCCCTGCCCACATGGATTTCATCCAGAGGAACTGCCTTACTGTGTTAATGTGTAGTGAAACCCAGTCTGACATTAAATATATGACGATGGACTAATCCTGCGTCCAACTGTCTCCACCTAGAAAAGATTCCAAGAACCTTGGAGAGCGGTGGAAGAAGGGAATCCCCATCGAAGTCATCCCGATGGCCTATGTGCCAGTCACCAGGGCCCTGGAAAAGAAGTTTGGTGGTGTTGCTGAGCTGAGGATGGCAGTTAGCAAAGCAGTAAGTATAGACAAAAGTCTCTCTCCAGCTGCTCTCCCAGCAGTGAGTTTGTTCTGGGTGTGGTGAAACAGGAGCATAGGGCTGGAAGGGACATCCTGGGTCATCAGGTGCAGTCCCATATGTTCGTAGTGCTTAAGATGCCAAAAGGTAGCTTCTTCTTTTCTGTGAGGGCTGGGTGGATGGGTGTGTGTGTGTGTACACGCATATGCCTACGTGTGGATTCATGCCCTATTCTAGGCGTGTTTGGATTCACCACCCTTCCTAGGCACAGTAAGGTCTGGTTTATCTACAGTATCTGTGAGAAACATGGCTGGGGGAAGTAATCTTCACAATCTGTGTGTCCCTTTGGAAACCAGTGACTTCTCACAGTTATTTCAAAGCAGTGTATTGAGAAGGAGTGTGAAGCATTCTGTAACAATCAACCTTTTTATTTTTTGCTAAGATATTAAATCTACTGCAATGTTCAGACAGTTTTCAGTTGCCTAAACTTCATGCTGAATATCTCTAAGAGTAACATAACATTGCAAAACCCTTATCCAGAGCTGTCCTTGAACGATTCACCCAGTGCTCTATAGTTACTTTTTTCAGACCATCCAGTGTCTTGGTATAGCCACATTTTCCTGCAATACAAATGGTCCTTTCCATATAGTACAATAACCCTTTAGAAATGGTCCGATACAGATTTTACCTTATGACTTCCCTTTGCTCATGTACCCATGGTTAAATTTTCATACCACTCTTCACAAAACATGCTGAGTGCTAGATTTTTCTTTTAATATTCAGGTATCCTGGCAAGACATCAATTAAAGTAAATATTCAGGTCTATAGGACTCTTATCCATAAGGAGTTGCACAGCTTTTCTCTGTAACAGGTACACGTTGTGGCTTTCTCAGAATCGGTAGCAATCTGAGGGAGAGCAGTACTCTGGGAATACTAGACTCATTTTTATCCCTTCAGTTTTAGGAACTTGGGGAGGACTTTACGGCCATGGCTTCCTGCCATATGTAATCTCTTTTTCCAAGTGGCTGGGAGCCAGAACCTTTTGAGTTTCTATGCTGACTGTGGTAGTGATTCAACTATTCAATCCTAAGAAAATCTTTTATCTTCTTTGTGACTTAACTGCCTTATCAATTAAATACCTACCCCTATTTCTCAGGCATTTTGTCAGAATTAGGGTATGTCTATACTGGACAAGAAAGGTGACACCAAAGACCTGTTCTTGACTAGAGTCAGCAGTTCAGGTTCAACCCCAGACTTCCCTGGGTTTGAATTTGAGCTGCTAACACCAATCAAAATCCAGACTGGCTTGTTCTTGCTGCTGCTGTGTTACGTGAGTTGAGTGACTTGGGTTAACAGGCTTTTTCCCCTGCAGTGTAGACATACCTCCTCAGATAATAACTGAGGATTGAAAGGAGCAAGGTGTTGCCTAACAAAGTGCTCTGTTCATCCTTTGGCCCAAGCAGTTGACATAATTCAAGGTCTTTTTGTATTACTTCCCTTCTCATGAAGAGTTGAGGGTAAAAATGGAGTGTATTTTTGGTGCAGCCTTGTTTTTTTTTTCCCCTAAATACAGTAGAAACAAGTAGCTGGTGTCTTGGTTGCTTTCGAATCTCCTGGGCTGTTCCTCCAGCAACCTATGCCCAGGAAGAACAGTTCCCTTTGGGGCCATGCTCACTTGTTCCCCTGCCTTTCTCTGTTTCCAGCTTATTACAGCCTGCATCCAATATCCTGGCACCTGCATTTGCAACCAGCAAAACCCCAGTCCAGAGTTCGCTCTGATTTGCTCATGTTGCCTTTGTCTTGCATCCTAGAGCTCCCACCAGCTTTTCCTCCAGGAAGGGGCTTGATGACTTCCTCTGACTCTGAGGGAGTGCTGGGCAAGGCCTTTGGCTTTAGTGGGGCAGGGATGGTCTTTGGATCCTGGATCCAGCCCTTCCTGGAGTGCAGCCCTTTGCACTTTTTCAGCAAATTGGCATTGTTACATGCTGGGCAGGAGGGAGGTTCTTTGATTCACTGCCCAGATCAGCTTTAAGATAATCAAGTAGTTTTAGTCTATGTAAAGGGACTCCCTTTGTCAAACTTAAATTGGTTAATTAATTAGCTGTGCCTTTCCCTCTCTGTAATAGGATGTGCAGGGTATTGACTGAAAGACCTGCATTAACAGCTTTTTTTTGCACCACAAAAGCTGAGAGAGAAGTCCAGTGGGAGCAGATTCAGCTTCCAAGTGTATTTACTTGTTTGCCTCCCAGTCGGATTTTGAGGGGGTGGAAGGCACAGTGCACCAAATGCAGATACACATGCACATTGTATTAGACTCGTGTGCCATTTTGTACACTGAATATAATTCTTGTGCATAACAAGTGGCTTAAGAACAGATTTGTATAATTGCTGCTTTCTTTACTTTAATGTCCCACAGGAAGTATTTGTTTTCAGTGGAAAGCTTTGTGGGCAGCTCACTTTACACCTGGATGTAAAAGACACTGCATGGTTAACTAATGGCAGGGTTACCCTATTTCCAGGTCCAAATAAGAGGATGCCTGTGGAAGGGGAAAGGGGGAATATGATTGGGGGGGTCAAGTGACATGCTGATGCCCTACCCCTACCCATTTTGTTGCTCCTCACTGACAAATTAGGGCCCCCCTAGCCCTGCTGCGCCCCTCACTCCTGACCCACTGACCCCAGCCCTGCCAGTGCACCTCACTCCCAAACAGCAATACCCTGCCCACCCCTTCCTGCCGGTGCCCCTCACTCTGGACCCGCAGCCCCCACCCCCCCAGCTCTCCCGGTGCTCCTCACTCCCGACCCTCTGTTCTCCCTGCTGCCTCTGATCACCCTTCCCCTGTTCCCACCAGAGGAGCAAAGCAAAATCAGGAACTCAGCTCCTGATCGTGCAGGTATTCTGGGAACTACTACCTAACGGTGGCCATGCTGAAAATGGACCCGGAGAAGAAATCCCAGAAATTCGGCATGCATTTAAAAAGCCTGCCCCAATGCAGCACAGGAGGCCAAAAAAGAGGACAAGTCCGGGAAAACCTGGACGTATGGGAACCCTAACTAATGCAACCTTTTCCCTAGGGCCCTGTGGTGACGGACAATGGGAATTTCATACTGGACTGGAAGTTTGACATGGTCCACAAGTGGAAGGATGTGAACACAACTATCAAAATGATTCCAGGTAGTCTCTCTGGTTTAAAAAAGCCCTGTTGAGATTCTGTTTCCAACTGGAAAAGTTATACCAAACTTATCTCTTTTGGGTAGTTGAGTGTGTGTGTATGTCATAGATTTCATAGACATCAGGTCTGGAAGGGACCTCGGAAGATCATCGAGTCCAGCCCCCCGCCCAAAGGGCAGGAAGTCAGCTGGGGTCATAGGATCCCAGCAAGATAAGCATCCAATTTACTCTTGAAGGTGTTCAATGAAGCCGCTTGAACCACCTCCGGTGGCAGGCTGTTCCAGACCTTGGGGGCTCGGACAGTAAAGAAATTCTTCCTTATGTCCAGCCTGAAACGATCTTGAAGTAGTTTGTGACCATTCGACCTCGTCATCCCTTGGGGCGCTCTGGTGAACAAACGTTCCCCCAGATGCTGGTGGTCACCCCTGGACCACATATGTCCACATATGACCACATATGTCCTATGTTTTGAAACTGTTGAGGTGCTTTGAACCCCAGTTCACTTATAATGGAACAGCTAACTTTGCTTCCTCAACTAGAATAAAGTGTACTGCTATAACTTCATCTACACGGGGTTTTATTTGGTCGCTTCTAGTGAAGCAGCTAAAGGATCTATTGAGGCTAAAGCTTTCTGGTCAGTCAGGTCCTTATGCCCTGGTTTTGCGAGGAATAGAGGCACATGCCAAACTTTAAGAATGCGATTGCAGTGAGACTAGCCATGTGTCCTTTTGGCTAAGATCAAATGTAGTCTTGGTCTGATGGGCTTGGACTAAACAACATTCACTCAGGCCAGTGTCCAGGCATCTTGTTGACTTGGAGCCTAAAGGCTTGAGTGAATTTTCATTTACAGTGATGTAAATTCAGAGCAGTGCTTTTAGATAAATCCTTGTAAAGTCATTAAGAGCAGTAGTTCCTACTCTACTACCTCTGTAGACCAGACTTGATTCAAACACACAGGAGTGGGATTTTCAGACTTGCCTGTGATGACTGTCCCATTGAGGATCAGAAGGGCTCATCTGAACTCTGAATTTCTGCTGCTTTTAACTTCATCACCACCAAAGAGCTGATCAGTGCACAAGTGCTTATTCCAGTGCAGCTACTCTGCAGTAAGCAAGTAAGCCGTGCTAGGGTAACTGCGTCCATACTGGAGGCTGCACCAGTTAATGCTTGGGGAAATCCCATCCTAAGTTTAGAAGAGCGTATACAGGCTAGAAATAGGGCCGCAACATCAGATGATTGTTGAACTTGACGAAGATGACGCTTTGGGTGGCCGGTTACATTAAAGGAAAAAAATATTCAGGGCTGTGTTTGATTTGGGGGTGTTTTTTTTTTTTTTTTTTTTTTTTTTTTTTTTTTTCCCTCTGTTCTTGTGTAGCTCTAACAAGGGCCCTGGTGAATGCACTAGTTTCCACGTGTCCTTTTTTGTCAGATGAAAAACAAAACTTAAGTCTTAGGTCCAGGAAGAAACTTGTCTGCATGAATTAAAGTGCTGCTTTCATAATGGAAGTAGCTGCAATAACTAGATCCACCACTGAGCGGCAGCACAGTTTCAAAAATGTCTATAGCGCATTTGTTAAAGGTGGTAAGCTAATAATTGAAAGTTGATTCTGAAACTCTTCCGAAGTACAGAATTGCTTCATGTACTACTGAAATGGAAAGTCAGATACAGCAGTTAGACCCAGCATCCGTATAAAGCAGCTTAAGGCAGAAGGTACACAAGCGTGTTTCTAAGAGAACTTTTATTCCAGTTCCCTAGAACATAGTTGTAACAGCAGCGTTAACACTACTTTTATAAAAGACGGAGTCCACTGTTCAGCATCAGAGCTGACAGCTCAGTAGCAGCGGGTTAACACGGTTTTACCTAAGCAGGAAAGGGAGGGTGTGCCAGGTGCGGAGTAGGCCTTGCCACTGCTCCGAGGGTCAGTGTTTGGCTGCGACTCTGGAAAAACATTTTTTTTTCTTTATTCTGCCTTGCCCAGACAAGGTGTGTGACTTATTTAGGGGTAAGTGGTATGTGAGAGAAAAAGGAAAGTCTCCCATTTGTAATCTAACTAAGCTCATTGTTAGGCTATTTCTTTGTAATGGTCCTTTTCAGATCAGAAGAGAGAAGTAAATCATTTGATTCCTGCTCTATAATTCAGGTCGTAGACTTGTCCCTAGTGGGGCCAGTAGCTTTTTACTGCCTCCCTTTCCCTTAGTTAATGGTTGTCATTCCAGTGAGGCCCCCTGTGCCACCCTACAGAGTTCTCTACTATATGACATCCCTAAAGCTCTGGTGCTAATGCATGTGAGTTGTCCTATTGACGTTAATGAGCCTGCTTATGTCTTCAGAGTTAAGACTGAATGAGGCCCAGTGGTGCAGTCTATCATAGGTATAGGGGTGTGTGGTGACTTTTGGTTTTCCTGTGAGCACACTCCTAGAATCATAGAAAACGAGCGTTGGAAGGGACCTCAGGGGGGTCACATCTAGTCCAACCCCCTGCTCAAAGCAGGACCAGCCCCAACTAGATCATCCCAGCCAAGGCTTTGTCTACCCGGGTCTTAAAGACCTCCAAGGATGGAGACTCCACCACCTCTCTGGGTAACCTGGTCCAGTGTTTTACTACCCTCCTAGTGAGAAAATTCTTCCTAATATCTAACCTAAACTTTCTTAGCTGCAACTTGAGACCATTGCTCCTTGTTCTGTCATCTGCCACCACTGAGAACAGTCTCTCTCCATCCTCTTTCCAGCCCCCCTTCAGGGAGTTGAAGGCTGCTGTCAAGTCCCCTCTTAGTCTCCTCTTCTCCAAACTAAATAAACCCAGCCTTTCCTCAGAAGTCATGTCCCCCAGCCCCCAAGCCATTTTTGTCACCCTCTGCTGGACTCTCTCCAATTTGTCCACATCCTTTTTGTAGTGGGGGGCCCAAAACTGAACACAGTACTCCAGATGTGGCCTCAGCAGTGCTGAATAAAGGGGAATAATCATTACTTTCCTTGATTTGCTGGCAATGCTTCTACCAGTGCAGCCCAGTATACTGTTAGCCTTCTTGGCAACAAGGGTACACTGGTGACTGATATCCATCTTATTGTCCACTGTCACCCCCAGGTCTTTTTCTGCAGAGCTGCTGCCCAGCCAGTCAGCCCCAGCCTGTACTGGTGCAGGGGCCTTTTTTAGTTTAGTCGTAATGCTTTGAACTGTCCATTTTGAGTGAATGGCTCCCAGGAGTTGCCCAACTTGGGCTGTAAACAAGCATAACTTTTTTCTGGGGAAAAAGCCTTTTGGTCCTGGGACCCTACAGAAGGACCAGTCCATTGTCCTGCTTCAAGTACCTGTGAAGCATGAGAGAGGAAACTTGGTAAGTTTCCCTCGGGGTGGCCATCCCCCCCAGTCTGGTGTAGCAAGTCAATTATCTGTAAATTAATTGTGGCCCATTCAAGTTAATTACCAGTCAGGCTGTGCCTAGCCATCTATTTTTTTGTCCCTCCCTGCCTTGGATCCCCCCCAGTGTCCTTTGTCTTCTCATTAAGCTCTTGTCCTCTCTCCTGAAGCCCTGGGCTGCTGCCCTTTCTGATTTACTCAGCTTGCTCTGCTTTCCTGACTACACCCTGCCTGGGCTCAGCCAGCACCCTCTGCCTCCTGCCCCCTCTGTACTCTGCCACCTTCCTGTTTTCCCCCAGTCCCTAAAACTTCTTTCTGGCATAAGCTCACATTATGACTTGCTTCACTTGCTTCCCTTTCCTGCCCAGGATATCTTGAATTATGTTCCCTGGGACCCCAAGTCTTGCAAAGACTGGAACATCTTCCAGTCTCATCACTCGGCACTCCTGTAGGGAGGGCTTCTAGATTATAAGCAGTAGGCAAGATGCACTTTGGGCTCATTTTGCAGGCATAGTACTGCTTTGCAGGCACAGTACTGCTTGGCAGAGCCCTCTAGTGGAGATGTGGTAGGAGGTGACAGAGGCATTCTGGAATTTAAGGTAATGCAAGCCCTTTTCTATCAGCATAGCTGTGGTTTTACACCCAGGCTCTTCCCTGTGTCAGCCAGGGCATGTGACTTGTTTCACACACAATGCACAGATATGAAGGGCAAAACTAATCTAGACCTGATCTTTGCTTTACACAGTGCTGAGTTTGGTCAGGACTCGACTAGCTGCAAGTGAGCAAGGTGTCATCGGCTTCCTCTGACATGCTGTAGATAGGTCAGAGGTCCGTCCTGTGCTAGCGGTCCTTTGAGATAGCATGGCTCAGGCATGCTAGTGTCTGTAGCCAATGACACACAAGGGAGTGATGCAACTTTCCTATGAACTAGCATCATACCCAGTTGCCTTCACTCTCTGATTCAGATGAGGTACAGCTGGCCTGACTGGAGGCAGCCTTTGGCACAAGCCCAGGGCAAAGCTTTGAGCTCGCACCTCTGGACATCTAGGTAGTGACCTTCACTTCTCTGCCATTGCATCCCATTAACAGTAACAAGCAAAAACCAGGCACCGTTGGAGTCCATGGTGAAAGTCCCTCTACTTTCAGTTATTGTATGTTTGTATGACCTTGATGGCTAGGAGCCCAGACATGGAGCAGCGTCCCAAGCACTGTACGAACACTGACCATACACACCATCCTTGCCCCACAGAGTTTGACATCTATGACCAGAGTCACTCAATAGGTCCGTAGATGAGGGCATATAAAGGAAGAATGACACTGAATTGATGGATGCAATGGTGTCAGTCTCAACACACCAGCAGCCTAATCATTATCAACGTCAGTGGGGATAGGAGTTCACCCATCTTGACCTGTTCAGGCCTCGTGGACAGCTAGATATTCTGCACTTGCTTCCAGCAGCCGGTAGATGTCAATCTTGAGCCTCAGGAAGAGATGCTGCTAAAACAAGACTAAAGTAACTAGGAAGAAAAGTTTCCCCTCTAATTCTGTGTGTAGTGTTTCACAGGTGGGGCTGGACGGTTTCAGGACTGGCAGGGAGAATCCTTTGCTATCCATCTCCTTTTATGCTTGCAATGTCTTATTCTCTGTTCAGAAATATGCCCCGCTCAGGAAAAACCCATAGTTCTGTGAGGGCAAGAGAGGTAAAAATTCAAGGTTATGAAGATGTGAGCCTTATAATGAAGAGCTCCCACTGACAGTACTCCTGCTACCCTTGTCGTCTCTTCCTGTGCCCTTTTGTGGCACTTGTCCTGTAAGGCATGAGCTTGGGGTTCGATTGTACAGGTGCCTGCTTCAGAGCACATGGCTTTTTGACAGCAGGGGGTCTCAGCAAGTAACCCCTGCGCCTGGTGAGAACCTCGTAGCCAGGCTCCAGCATTGCAGAGCCTTGCCAACTGCAGATAGCCTCAGGGATCCCTTTGTAATAAGTCAGCTCATACCTTCCCCCCATGTTAAAAGAACATTACTGAGGGTGCAAAGGTAAGTGCTTAGCTAGGAAAGGCCAGAATTTAGCCTGCTTGGACAAGCTGACTTTGGCTCATGTCTGCTTATGCATTTGAATACAGTCCCTGATTATGGACTAGTGTAATATTTTCTCCCACCACACCCCTTGGCTCACCTAGTACCCAGGATTGTGCTCACCTGTTGAGCACCTATTCAGCATTTTATTTTCTCTTTGTTCAGTGGCTCCAAGGCCTCTTCACTGCTGGCAATTACCTTGTTCTGAAGACTGAATGATTTATTTGGGCTTTTCTGTGCTACAGTATTCCAGCACTTTACCAATGGGTTTGTTTTCACCCCCTTCCCCCCTGAAATGCTGGGGAATTTCCCCATTATAAGTGGTGACGTGGACCCAGATGCTAAGCACCTAGCACACAAATCCTAGTCTGTGGATTGAACCTCCTATGTCCTTCAACAGTAGAAATAGTGAGAGACCCAGGTCAGAAATATTAAGTGCCCAATATGAGCTTATGGAAACCGGAGTACTTGACCATTGTCACCCTTGGGATGTTGTAGCTGTGGGTGCCTGGGCACTTCTGTAGTTCAGGCCCCAGGGTACCAAGTCAGGTAGCCAGAAAATGGAGAACATGTGATGACTGGCAACTCAGGCAAGGTTTGGCTTAAGGGTCTGGACTTGCACTGCATAGGACACTTACAGCAGACATTGGGGGAGACTCTGATTGTCCGGGGTGACATAGGCTGCGAGGTGAAGGAAGTCCATCCTTTCTGCAATCTGCCTTATTTTCTACACATCTTCCAAAGCCTGGGGCAAATAAAGCTGTGGTTTGGGAGACAAGACCTCTTCCGGTCATCTTCAGTGCACCTGTCCTATGCACTGAATGAGCTGGGGATCCTGAAGAAAGGATGGTGTCTGCTTATGTGACTAAAGATTAAATCACAGCTCAACTGCACAAGGAGGTGAAATGGAGTTTGCACGGGCATTTTGTGCATGATGTTTCCCAGGTGTTTTAAAAACATTTTATTTACTTAGTTACCTAAACACCAGCTGAGAAAACCAGGCTCTGTTGCAAGACTTCAGGCTGATAATTGTGGGGTAGACCCTTTAAACCTGTTACATAGAGCCCCTTGAGCTCCTGGAGCGAGTGACGGTGTATCCAGTGACACTACAACCCCATGGAGCAGCACTGAGGGGAAGGAGATGCTTCCCCAGCTGGCTACGCAGGTGGTGGCTGAGAGCATAGGAACCATGAGACTGGGATGTTGGGTTGCTTTCTCTGCCCCAGAGTGGAGTGCGCTCTCCTGGGCATGGACTCTTGTCCCATCCCGTCCAACCTGCCCCTGTTTTGATCTCGTCTCAACCCCTACCTGGCCCCTTGTTCCAGTTCTGCTGCCCGTATTTTGTCATGTTGAAGCTCCACTCTTCAGGCTGCCGATGTGGTCCCTGTCTCCTCACCCAGCTAGTTCCATTCTTCTCCCTTTAGATTTCCAGTTCCAGCATCTGCCCTTTCCAGTCTTGCCCAGCCCAGTCCCATTTCTCTCCTTCGCTCCTCAGTCTGTCATCTCATTTCATTTGACCGTATTCTCTATTCCCACTAGCTCTTTCCCCAGGTTTCTCATCCAGTGCTGTGTCCAGGCCTGCTCCAGATCCATGTCCTGATCTCTGCCCAGCCAGTCACTGGTCCCCTGCCCCTTGCTCCTCATCCCGTCCCCTCACCCAGTCCTCCACTGACACCTTCCAGTCCGCCACTGACACCTTCCTGTCCCTTCTAGCACCTGGTCTTACTCAATAAATTTGTTTTTCCCCTCCAGACTCCTACTTTCCTGGCCTTCCTCTACAATATTGTAGATCTGATTTATCATCCCCTCTGCATTTGAATCAAACAGCTTCTTCCTCTTCACTGCCCACATGTCAGCAGATGATCCTGGAGAGCACCTCAGAGATCAGCCCCTGATCTCAGTCCCATCCCTTCCCAGAGCAGCAGCCTGTACTGGGAAAGTCCATCCGAGTCCTTGTAGGCTGGGGTTGACAGCATCTTGCTTGCCCTGTGCGGATGATGCACGCTTAGGGGTTGTGAGGTTCAAGCTGGCTTAGTAAGACTGGAGTCTTCTAAGAGTTTAGCTGCTGAACTCCAGCAAGTCTTTGTGAACTATGTGTGAACAGCAGGTTTCTTTCCGCAAGGTCTCATAGCTCTGGTCAGATTTTGGCACGGGTTCACATAGCTGGCAAAGCTTCATCCCCTTACACTCAAATTCCCAGGTGCCCAGTTTCAGGCCTCTGCTCTGAAGCATGGGGATGCTAGAGATGTTCAAGGAAAGGTGGCCAGCATGTTTTCAAAGTGGGTAAAATAAGGTATATTGCCCTACCTTCATTCTTGAAAATGACTAAAGCGTTTTGGCTCAAATTCCCCAGAAAATCTTACAGGAGGCAGAAACTCAGCATGGAACGTTTCTGCCCAAATGTTTGTTTGGCAAGGTCACAAGCAACTGAAAACAGGGTTTTACGGTGACAAAGCTAGATCGGGTGCTGGACGGGTGACAGTGCTGGACGGGTGACAGTGTGTTGTGCAACCAGCTGCGCCTGTAAGACAGGACTGTCGTCCCACATGGTGTCAGCGGCCTGCTTGCTTGGAGCGGTGTTACTAGCCAGGAGTCTCTGGTCCAGGACAGGGTGCAAGAACCCTTTTAATCTATTCAGCACTGGTGAGGCCACATCTGCAGCGCTGTGTTCGATTTTTGGGCCCTCGCTACAGAAAAGATGTGGACAAATTGGAGAGAGTCCAGCAGAGGATGACAAAAATGGTTCAGGGTCTGGGGCACGTGACTTCCGACTGAGGGAACTGGGCTTATTTAGTCTAGAGAAGAGGAGACTGAGAGGAGACTCAATAGCAGCCTTCAACTCCCTGAAGTGGGGTTTGAAACAGGATGGAGTTGGAGTTTTCAGTGATGGCAGAGCAAGGAGCAATGATCTCAAGTTGCAGCAAGGGAAGTTAGGTTAAATATTAAGAATTTTCTCACTAGGAGGGTAATAAATACCGGGACAGGTTACCCAGAGAGGTGGGGGAAGCTGCATTCTGGGAGGTTTTCAATGCCCGGCTAGACAAAGCTTTAGTTGGGATGATGTAGTTGGGGCTAGTCCTGCTTTGAGTAGGGGCTTGGAGTAGATGAACTCCTGAGGTCCCTTCCAACCCTCATTTTCTATGAGTGAATGGCACAGCCTGTCTTGAGGGAAGTAGATTACCCACTTCTATTCCCATTCAAATTTAGGTTGGTTTATGCCCAATAATTTAAGGACAGAGGGCTTGCCTGTAGCCTGCAAGCTTAGCAACATGAAGACGGTAGACTTTGGGTGCCGTGTTAATGAATTAATAGTTCAGTACCTAACACGAAAGGACTAGAGCAGATAGGGTTAGACCAGGAGATCACTAACTTGCCTGTGATTTCTCTATTTCCAGGTGTGGTGGAAACAGGCCTGTTCATCAACATGGCAGAAGCAGTTTACTTTGGAATGGAGGATGGCTCCGTCCGCATGCGTGAGAGACCGAGCCACTGACACCGGTCTCACCTTTGCCTTTGGCCAGTTGTAGGCTGCTGTCATCAGTGCCAATCTGAGATTTTGCCTTAACGAGCGACCATCATGACAGAAGAGGATGGACAGAATGTCAACCGAATCCACTGATATGATACTGAATGTCTCTCTCTCTTCTCTCTCTCTCTCTCTTTTTTTTTTTTTTAAACAAATATATTCTATTTCTATATATCTATATATTTTTACTTTACAGGAAGGTTCTTTTTAAAAAAAAAAATAATTTGAGCTAAAATTGCTTTAACACTTTTGTGTTTATTTTTGAGAAACGTTTACCAAAAAGGACACTTTTTTTACGGAACTTGAACCCATCTGGTTGCTCTTACGGTGTTGGGGGTCGGAGTGAGGCGACCACAAGTCTGTGTTATGTTGTTTGCCAAGGAGAAGAATGAAGAATGAGGCACATAATACGAGCATAGCCAGTTTGGATCTGCTGATGCCTTATTTGGAACCTGTTTGGTTCTGTGTTTTATGCCTTTTTATTTTTTTATAGCCTGGGTTTTAATAGTACAGACTGCCTAGTTACTTTCTGTGTGTGACAATCACCCCTGGGCAGAGGGAGGCCACGGTCAATGTGTCCCTTCATGCTGGGACATGTGGTACATGAACCTGTGTCTGATCCTCTGCACAGAGGTGACTTTGTTCCTCTGGGCCAAAGTCTGCTCTGTTACACTCCCGTCAATCCACGTAGCTTCCATCAATGGAAGTCTATTTGAATCAATGGAGTTGCATCAGATGGGCATCAGTGTGAACAAGGGCAAAGCTGGGAGCCTTGACCCAGTTTTTATGGAAGCATTTGAAAAATTAGCAGCGTGTCTTGCAGTCGTGGCAAATCCACTTGGTCAGGAATGAAGGCAATAAACCAGGCTTCATAGCTGTTGATTTCAGGGAAGGATAGAGCAGAACGTAATGGAAAACTGAGTCTTCCTGCCTGAACTGACTGCAAATGTAGCAGGCAAACAAGGTACTCATTTAATATATTGTATTTCATGTCTTTGCATGGTGCTGTGTCAACAATGCCATCACTTGGTTTGTTATATGTTCTGAAATAAAGAACTCTAATGCCAGGAATTTTTGCCTTTCCAAGTCATCTTTTTAAAAATAAAAATACTTAATCCATAGCAAGGTAAGTCCTCAGCTGGGATAAATCAACTTCACTAGGGCTATGACAATATGCATCAGCTGACGATCTTCCCCTGTTTGCGTAGTTTGAAGGACTTTACGTGAGACTTCATGCTACCAGTGTCACCCAGGCTGAATCCACTACTTCATTTTTGACATGGCAAAAAAAAAAAATCAAGTATGTTGAAATTTAACTAAGTGTTGGAGCCCACCTGTTTGCTTAGGTGCTCGCATGCAAAATCTGTGAAACTGAAACTTTGTATGTGCCTAAAAATGGTACATGTTAGTAAGATGGAGTTTCTTTTTTACAGAAAGGAGCTAGTTTAGTCACTATAAGCCTGCACACCCATCCTGCCCCTTCAAAAATGGTAATGCAGTTTTGTACTGAAAAAACTGGCCTGTGATAGTGTTTCCAGTAAAGTCAGGACAGTGGAATATTATTGATTCTCACAGGCCTGATTCTATAGGAACAGTTTGTAAGATAATATATTGGCATAGAAGAGGCCTGAGGTTTCAGGCTCTTTATTTGGGTTTTTTTTTTAATTTAAAATGCTGCTATGTTGAAGGAGAGAACAATAAATGCACTCTGCTTTCTAAAGGAAGGTCTTTGGGAAAGAAAATTGCTACTTTCTTTGGAGTTTGGCTAGCTTTTAAAGCAAATGGCTACTTACCCAAAATAATGAATGTTATCCTGAGTCCTTGTACTTAATCATGTGATAGACTCTAATCAAAGGAGGCAATAACAGGCCTTCATATTCATAAATACTCATATTTTTATAGTTAGGTAGGCTTGTGTAATGGTTTGTTGTAATTTATTCAGCACTTTCCTGCACTGAAAGTCTCAGTGGTATGCATTAAGGCGACTGTGTATGGGTTTTGTTGTCTGCCAGATCCCTAAACCCATTTTTAGGCCTTATTTTCCAAGACACAAAACTCAAAACCGTTGTGGTAAGTGAAAGCTGTCATTGCTCCTCTGCACATCAAGCCGCTTCCCCAAAGGCCTGGGTCTGGAATGAAGAGCTCAGCCCTTCACAACCAGGTGGGAAAATGGTCATCTTTTAATTGTCTTTGTTGTGGGAATTAAGCCTGTAATTCTTCTCCAGTCCACCCAGTAGATATACCCTCCATGCAGGCTTCAAGTTTAATTGAATTAATTGAATTGATTTACTTAAGTGTCATTTCATTAGTTTCATTAATCTAATTAATCTTTACACATACTTTTACACATTATTTAAATTTTTTTTTACACCAGTATTTTAAATTTTTTAAATTTTATTTTATTCTTCTTTTCCTTCCTATCTTTATTTTTATTTTTTTTATAACTTATCTTATTTTTTATTTTCCTATTTCTATGTCATCAAGCAAACCTTTATGTGTGTGAATCCACATTTTTTTTTTTATTTCACTCAAACAACCACCCCTCCGAACAGGGCGCTGAAATTCTCGGAGCTCTTATAATATGCGCACAAATCTGTATGCCATGAATTTCTTATCCTCTGTGTGTGTACATATATTATGTATGTATATAATCTTTGTGCACATATTGGAGTGTTGTGGTGCAATCTCCAATAGTGTGCTCCCTGCACTATCTCACAGGGGGTCCCAATCCCAGAAGACACCTGGAACCCCCCATTCTGCACCCATTCTTTCACTGTTGAGGGTCTTTTTGTCATTCATTGTTTCCCTTCCATCCCCAGACACTTTGCCACATCTCTGGGTCTGTGTTCCCATAGCCCCCCAAGCGCTGGTTTCCTCAGGCTGTCCCCCATGCTTTACCCACCAAATTCAAATCCACATACCAACCATCCAGGCTGCTCCCTGGCTAAGAAGAGACCCTGGCCGTATGACTAGACAAACCCTCTCCACCCCCCTGGGAGCAGAGAGCCACTGCATTATCACTTCCCCCCTCTCCGAACAGGGTGCTGAAATTTTGAGCACTTATAATAATGTGCACGAACTGGCACCCAATTATTTTCTTATTTCTTCACATGCATGTTGGGCATCGAGTTAATGTGACCTGTGGTAGGTAATGCATTTTAATGTTTTTGCCACATTTCACCCCCCCCATATTCACAAAGCAAAGGAAAACCTGTAGACTTCAGCCCTCTCTGGCTCCCTGGTCCCCCCGTCACTGCAGCCTGCTTCCCCCTCCCACTAGAGATAATGTGCTTATGAGACAGACAGAAGTGTTGCAACAATATTTTTTATTTTATTTATAGAAACACTCAACACTAACTGCTGAACGGTCTACCATTCAGTGCTGATTGATTGGTGGCCTACAGAGCACCCTGTCCATCCGCAGCAGCCAGAATATGTGCGGCCAGGCAGTTTTGCACAATCTAGCTCCCTGACCAGCCTTTGCATGCTGGTCATAGGGGGCCCCATGCCCTGCCTGTCCATGTCTTTGGCTGCTGCCTCCCACACTTTGTCAGACCAGGACTTGCTGAATACCTCCTTCCTGGTCTGCAAATATTGTGGAGCATGCAGGCTGCCATGATGAATGCCATAATGTATTCTGGCCCCACCTCGAGCCTGTAGTTCAGTGACCTCCACCGTGCTTTCAGATGGTCATCCAGGCAGTAACTTGTCCTCTGTATGTCTTCATGAGCCAGGCAGAAGGGGGTAAGCTATGTCCGCTATGATAAGGGGGGCATGGGAACACCCCAAATCACTGCATCAGGGACCCGGGGCACATACTGGCCTTTTTCCATCATAGCAGGCAGTGGTGAGTTTCAAAAGATGTGCATCATGCCTGCCTCCTGCCTACGCTGTATAAATGTTAGGGAACCATCCTCAGCGATCAGCTATGGCCTGGAGGATCACCGAGGCAAATCCCTTCCTGTGGGTGAACGACTGGCTCCCCTGACATGGGGATAGGACCGGGATGTGTGTGCTGTCCAATGCATTTACGTGGTTAGGGAACCCCATGGCCTTGAAGCCTTCAACAACTTCCCCGGGGTCATGGGGTCAGATGACGCTGTTTGCCACAGTGTCCTGCAGCAGCTAGCATGCTTCACATATCTTCACCCTGGCCGTGAAGGGAGCCATGCCGAACTGGTTCCTGATGAAGCGGAGGCTAGGGGGGGCGACCAATTGCATGATGGCTATGGCGCACTCTCTTCTCTGGTGTGATGGGGTGATGTATAATAGTGTCCTGGTGTTCAGTGTGCAGTGACAGCAGTAAGACTGTGCACAAATGTGTCCCTGCATTATAACAGCTATGCTGCTTACATTTCAGCTCCTACACAGCTCAGGTTCCTGTAACCACCCCTCCTGTAAAAACTTGTGGAGTCCGATGACTCCAGAAACCCATGATCTGTCCAGGGCTGCAGATAATAGCGCTTAGTGGAACAATGACTAGACCTGCCATGAAGTGCCACCCCAGCAAGCACCTCCAATCTGGCAAAGGCTGTGGAAGAAAGGTGGGTGTGAGGTCACCAGGCTCTTTTTGAATAAATCCCATTAGCACGTTCAGTAAATCTTGTGTGCAGATAAGAAGTGGTTGGCCCAAAATGGCTGAGAAAGGATGCCTGGCTGCGGGTGGTAGCAGGCCCTGAGTGGCTGCAAACAAGTGCCCATCTGCTTTGGCCACCGATGTGCCTCCCTGCCCTGTACCTCCCTGCACTGCCCGCTAACTCCCATGGTCTTTAAAACACTGTCCTACGCCGCCCCCACCCCCTCTTCACCTCACAGCCCAGCCTAATCGCAGCTGCCAGTTCAGGAGACAGGTGACTTAAAGGGTCACTGGGGTTTCACGTCTCAGGTGTGGAGGTTGAGCTCCGCAGGCTATCCTCCTCTTCAGAAACAGCAGGTGACATGACTAGGACCCTGCTGCAGCTTTCTCCACTGGAGCCCCCGTGAGTCACAGCAGTGGTTGGCAATGTCTCAGCAAGAGAGGATGCCCTGGAGACCTCTCTGTCCCTGTGCATTCATGGTGATCCAGTACCTTCATTTGCAGCTGGAAGTGTCTGTAATGGGCCACGCCATGCAGTGGGGTGCCCTGCTGCTGTGCTCTGGTGACATCCCTGCAGAAAGCAGTCCGCAGCATCTTTGCCTTGACGTGACACTGGACCGCCGTCCTGTTGTGCCCCTGATCACCCATTCTCCTGGCAACATCAAGGTAGATGTGCCAGTTGGCTGCAGACGAGCTGGTGCGCGACTTCAGGATCCCCAAACACCCGCACCAGGCTCTTTGTTTCTGCAAAGGTCCAATTGGTCCTAGACCTACATGCCCTGGTCTGCTCCATTCTCACACCATCAGACATCTCAGATCAATAAGGGGTACCTTGAGGAGCCGTTCACTCAATTTATAAGTCTTGAGGTGACAGGGCCAAGGGAAATTCACCCTCCTGCCACCCTGTTGTTGCTGGGCGAAGTTTGGACATTGGACATGCTGGTGCCAGGCAGGGTCAAGGCAGGTAGGAGGGCTCCGCACCAATGGCAAATTTGTTTCTTATGGGCATACTTGTTCTGGACATCTTATTAGCCCTGCTAGGTCTTTTGGCCCTGTGTATGCCATGGCACAGTAGCAGGCTACCCAATGAGCCCTGTACTGAGAGTGCCACAGCCACCATTTGCCCTGGGCACCCCCAGGCTCCCTGTTGAGGCATGGCACAACAGCAGGCTACCCAGTGACCCATGTGTCAAGACCCTGCTCCCAGCAGGACATGGTCTGAACTGCTCAGCAGTTCAGACATAGCCGGTGGGGCCATAAATGCTGGCAAAAGTCACCCGCTATTCTAAAGTGGGTGCGCTTAATGGTCATGCGGGCTCACAGTACTTCTCTTAAGTTTAAGTAAAACTGGTGAGCAAATTAACGGCATTAAGGAGATAATTATCTTGCAGCAAGCTGGGATTTTTAGAGGTGCAGGCTGGATGGGAGCAGGGGTTCCTCACAGGGGTTGCTGGGCAAAGTCTGGGGATTTTTGCAGGGCATACAGGAGCTATGC